GATCATTGTGTCGATTAGTAGACTGAACTTTGTGTTCATTCTTTCAGATGATCTACTGGGTCTTAATATCGGCCTTGGTGACGACCTTTTCAGTTCAAGCTACGACAGCAGCAGTTTGCTGAGAGAAAAACTACAACAGGACGATGCACACCAACGAGGAGCATTTCCTATCATGGATGCGTTCAAGGAACACACGTTGCTGACTGCTGATGATCTCAGAGAAAAAGTCGAGAACAGTTACACAGACAAGGCTGGGATTCGCCAGGCAGTGGAGGAAGCTTTGACGAAACTCCATAAGAAGAAAGAACAAGAACATGCACAAGCAGATCAGGCGCATGCGCCGAGCAAACCTCATATGGTCACAGCTAAGGAATTGATTGATGAGGTTGTAAAACAGGAGATAGCAAGCCACATAGATCACGCCGCTGCCAGCCCTGGTAGCCCTATAGGTGTTCCAGACAGCGATGACTTGAAAAGTCAACTGCACCAAAAACTCGAAGAAATCACTAAGATTGAGACGAAGTTATTCTCTCTTATTCGCGATGTGAAGGGGTTTTTGCTGACAAAGAAAGCCGAGCAAGGCACCGACAAAAGTGATTCAGCGAGCCTGAATGGAGACAGTGACATCGACAACCTGTCGGTTGACAGTCTAATTTCTAAACGGAGCGAGATTCCTTTTAACATCAACAGATTTCGCGATAACGTGACTCTAGTAGAAAACTTCATTCGTGATGCTCTCAAAGACGACTTCACAATCGATGAAAGTGAATTCAGTGAGAGCGACAATGACAATGAGGACAAAAAGGTTGCAAAACAGGGAGACACGAGGGACTTGCTGGGCAAAGAAGATACAGAAAAGGCTTTGCTTAAAGAAGCAATCCCTGGGGAAATTGAGGATATACCCGTGTCTAGCTTAGAGCGAGAAATTGACGAGAATGACTCGGTTGCCAGCGATCACGGGATTACCCGTGATGCTTTGGTGGATTCACCATTCTCGGACTTGGACTACAAGAAAGTTACTGGGAAGAGATCCAGGCATTTCGTATCTTAGAGAAAACACACTAGAACCAACCCTTTCATCTTGACTATGCACCCTTCGTTAGTGGTTTTACTTGCCACAATACTAAACAAAAGAAATTAAACCTTACAGTGCGCGATTTCGAAGGATTGTATATACCATTTCGATGCCAAATGGTGTAGACTCATCGATTGGTTGCTTACTAAAAATATCTGAAGAGACAAAAACTGTCACTATCTCATGCATTTGTAATAAGTACGTGTTTGACTATCCTGTTTCTCCTGAGAAATTTGTGATAACTCCATTTGTTATATGCCTAACTCCGTGTGCGGGAGAGATGAACCGAATCCTTCGCTGTGAAACTTTTTCAGTCAAGATGCCTGGATATTGGCCTCGTTCTTGTTTTGCGTGTTTATGGACCGAGACGGAACACGCATAGAAAAAACTTGGTCAATATCCAGCCATCTTGACCTTATGCTTGGTCAATAACCCATGTATACGAGTGTAAGGGGAATAAATAAGTTATGGAGGCTACAACAGGGTAAATGGAATGGAGGGGCTGGTGGGGGTTGTTCATCCAGTGCGAAAAGCTTTGAAATAGTATGGCTTTATTTTTAGTTTGAATACTACCCCTATATATACCCCTCTATAGGTAGAGATCAACTTCATAAATATAATATTACCATGATATTTTCATTAAATCAACACGAAAGACAGTGTATTACATTGCACGTGCCGCAAGTTACTCAAGCGCGAGTGAAGAAAGATGCTACGTGTACTGTTGAATAACCTACAAATGTTATGAGCATTTCCAACTCATTCCTTCTGTTATTCCAAGTTACAAACATCTCGATTAACTCTCATTTATAAAATATTTCCATTTTTGTTGTTTATGATAAATATTACTTTTCGTGTTGTGCCTAAATAGACATTAAATTGTAGTATCCTCCGTATCTAATAATTAAGAGACCACGATGTCTATTTTTATTTTATTGCAGCTGTTTGGTCTATTTTTATTTTATTGCAGCTGTTTGGTCTGTTTGTATTTTATTGCAGCTTTTTGGTCTGTTTTTATTTTATTGCAGCCGTTGGTGCGAATTTTGAATTGTTGATAACATGCTTGGTTTTGCGTGAGAGAATTCAGGCCAGATTCTTCAGTTACTTTTAACAGGGTTCGCAAGGGTCATCGAAAAAGCTGGAGAGCCGTGGAATTCAAGAATTTCGTTTTCCAGGCCTGGAAAGTCATAAAATTGAATTGTTGGTCGTGGAAAGTCATGGGAAATAAAAGTTAAGCCTGGTACGTTCATGCCTGCACATGTCATAGACAGAGAAACAAGTATTTGCATGGGTAATGTTAACAAAAAAAAAAAGAGCAACTTGGCCCCAATTTTATCTCTTGTCTGTGTGTGGAACTGAGTTTTTGTCTTAAATATCCTTAAACAAGGATAGTTTTGAAAATTTTATTAAGCGACAGCTACACTTAAGGTCGTGAAAAAATGGAAAAGGTCATGGAATTTGAAGAGCTTAAAAGAGTACGAACCCTGTTATAAACGCTAGTAAAACTACCCAGCACCTTTCTACCTGTGACAAGGACGGTTTCTTCCAATATAAACCCTAAACTTCGGCTTACGATTGTCGTATTTCACTGGAATTTTCGAGGAACTGGGACTACTTCTAGTGATAAAATCGTCGCTCTAAAAATAATGGATTTAACCTCATTGATAACTGTAACAGTATGGATGACAGGAATGTCGCCATTAGAACGGGCTTCTTAGTCACAACCGACTGGGGCTTCGTAGCGATACGGATAAAAGTCAGGGGTTCTTTGAAACAGTAGTCGTTGTCGTTTGAAGTCAGCGTTAAATCTATGGTTGCCTTTATCCAAAAACTCCAAAGAAACGGCGTTTAACCCAAGGAGGTGCATGGCGCAGTGCATTTCACGCGTGTAACTTCTTCGTTCGCATCACTAGGCTTCCTGTCTTTCTTTAATTGCAGCAGTGAGTCGAGGGATTTCTGAAGGCTTTGTAACCTGTCGGCTACACTTGGCATAACTAGAATTCTTAGTTTTTCCTGTGACTGAAGTGGTACTGCCGCCATAGCCCACCACAGCCAAGGAGGTCCGTGCGGCGACAGAAGCATGTGGTTGTCGCAAGGCGGTATGGGCCCTAACGCATGTTCAATGCAAGCCTTTTCGTCAAAAGGTAATCCGGCAACCCACCTTTTTAGCATAACATGGCTCATCGAGTTGCGCCACTTCAAATGAACGATCTTCTCGGGATCATCGATGTTCAAGTCTTCAACCCATTCCACCTTGGCTACAGGACAACCATCCACTACACCACGCGAAAGAACGTGAAATCTTTGTTTAGGAATTGCTTGGACTACCATCTTTTCACCCGGAAAATTTTCAGTCGCTTGGATCTCGACCACAGTTCCATAATCAGTGAAACCTTTCTCTACATTATGCAAACAAATTCCGAACATCCGGGAACCCCATTCAACAGAGCGCCTCACCATGATCCGATGGCAGGGATGAGAGAGCGTCAGGCGAACCCTTCCTTGCGGCATGGCTATTGTACTAACCAATATTGGGATCTCCACGCTCTGGTCGATACCAATCCTGGAAACGAAACACAAGAGACATTGTCATTAGACCTTTGTCATGATAGCCTTAGTCTGTCCACAGACCCTCTATATTGACTCGAGTTCGTCGAGAGCGCAAGCTTAGCAAAATATTAACCCGACGCGTGGAATACGAACGAACCAAAACGCAAAGCTTTCGCACGCGCCTTGACGAAAAAAACGAAATCACAGGAAAGAAAAACGTTTGTGGACAGACTCAATCTCGTTCCCAGAGTCTTCGTTCCCCTTGACCAGCGATCGGAAAACGAGAGTTCTAGGAGCAACCATTTTGAAATAACCGAATTCTGGTGATTCTGCCCATCCGGTTTCACAGCGCAGTCTGCATCTATGGCGCATGCCTGAAATGGTTGCTCCCAGAGCTCCATTCTCGTCCCCAGAGCCCACGATCCTTCTTTCCTGCGGCAGGGATCGAGAGCTCTGGGCTGGTCCAAAACCGAAAGTCCGCGATTAACGGACTTCCCGTCAAATCTGGCAAATCGGATTGGCTGAGAATACGAAACGAATACTCTGCGCATACTCAGAAAATCGGGTCCGGCCAGAGCTCTCGATCCCTGCCGCAGGCCAGAAGGATTGTCGGCTCTGGGGACGAGAATGCCCAGAGCTCTCGTTTTCCGACCATTGGTCAAGGGGAACAAAGACTCTGAGAAAGAGATTGGGATAGACTACGATAGCCGCCATATTTGGTTTCTTATAATAATGTAAATTAGGCACATAATTTCGGGGTAGAGGGGGAAATGAGTTGAAATCGGCAAACCACACGATGACATCCGGTTTCTTATAATAATTAGCCTTGCCATGTTTTTAGTATTGTAGTGTAAAATTTTCCCAATTTTAGGCCATTTCGGAACATATGTAAAATCAAAAAGTGAGAAGAAATTTTGCTCTTAGATATGGTCTCAACAAATGCTCACTATAGGAACAAACCGCAAAACAATTTTCCAACTACTGTCTACTTTTTGCCAGTGTTTCCTTCCACCGCCNCCCCCCCCCGCCCCTTTCCCCGACAGAGCACATGGCTAATTTGCATCAAAGCAGGGAAACCATCCTGACGAATAAGGTCATTATCTTATTCTTCTCCAAAACATGATCACTACTGGATTTTGTCTCCTGGTTGTAAAGGCGGGAAATTTAACAAAGACGACGTTATTATTCTTGCTGCAACTATGTTGCTCTGGGATAACAGATCTGCTTTCAGACCCTTCTTCTCGAAATAATTCGTTTTCGGAGCCTGTAATGGCCCGTAACGTATCAAGTTCTCGTTGAGCTTAGAGAGAAAATGGGGCTGCAAGCAGTCTGTCACAGTTTTTAAACAATTTCAAGATAGGTGAGTTTACCTGCTCCACTTTTCCACTTTCTTTGCATGCAGTTCCTCCCTCTTCCTGTACTGCGCCTCAAGATGAGTCTTAAGTAATTCTTCTAGCACCACTGTTACGTTCCTCTTCTTTTCAGTTGAATCATTCATAGTTCTTCCACATCTTGGACACTTCGGCCCATATTCAAAACGTTCTTTCATGCACTCCTGACAGAAGGTATGGCCGCATTGGGTTGTTATGGGGCGAAAAAGTAAACGGCCGCATACACTGCATTTTAATTCGCCAACGTTGACTTTCTGCTTCTCGTCGCTGATTTCAGTAGACGCCTGATCATCAGTGCTTCGTTCTTCGGAAGAGCTACCTGCATCTACAACAGTTGTTTCATATTGTTCGTTCGCGATTAAAATATTCGCAAACTTTCGGGCGATAATCCTATGTTCGAGTCGTGACACCTCAGGTGACCTAAACAGCTTAACCAAGCTTTCGGTTAATTCATTCCGTCGAGACTCCGACGGAGCCAGCACAGCGAAGCGCAAGTACTCTAACACAGCGTCGTCGAATTTCCGTAATTTGGTCAAAATTTTCGCTTTTCTGTTAAAAGCATCTGGCAGATCCGGTCGTAAGGTGCAAGCATTGTTGACATCCCTCAGGGCCAAATAATAAAGCTTTAACTGCCAATAAGCATCGCTTCGCAGGCAAAGGCATTCATAGTCTTTTGGGCAGATGTGTAGAGCGACTGAAAAACTTTCCACTGCGTCTTCCGGGGCTTGGCAACTTAAATGGCTTTTGCCGAGTCTCTTTGCCTCGGCATGTTTTGCTTTCTCAGGGAAACGTGTCCTGATTATGTCTGACAATACAATATTCACAGACAATGCTTCCAAATCATTGTAATGATTCCCACAAAGGGGACAGATAGTAATATTTCCATCGGGACATCCCGCGTCGATCGTGTCAGACTTCCGTTGAAGGCAACACTGGCAAATGGTATGGCCACAGCTTAGTGTGCTTGGATTTTCAAACACACAATCACAGCATGGACAGTTAAACGGACTCTTTGGTGTTGTTTTGAGTTGCTTCATCTTCCTATCTAGTTCTTTCTTCACATTGCGAGCTCCGTGATCCATCAGTGCATCGACGAGCGAACACAGATGATCTCGTACAACATTTCCGTTCTGAAAAACCATAAAATACGACAGCAAAAGTTCTTCGAGCGGTCCATGTTGAGTGGATATTTCCGACAGCTTTTCTGCGCTCCGTAAAATGTTCAGTAAATCTTCGGTTTTCCAGTTCTTAAATCGACGGCAGAATTCTTCTTTGTCCATTTGAAAGTGATCCTAAGTAGTTAGGAATCATCAAGAAGTGCGAAATTTATGTAAAATCCGTAAGAATATGGAACTGATCGAGACTAGTAACTAACAGTTGACAAAACAGAAATACGTTTCATAACATACCAGCGCTCATTTCCGGTTGCGTGCTGAAGAGTCACACTTTCTGAACACTCCTGACTAGACCCCTGTGATAACTGCGGAATTGTTTAAAAGGTCATTATTTGGGGATTTTACGTGTATTAAGACAATAACGTTGTAACAAAAAACAGTATCCTTTGGTTACAACTGTATTGAGATTTTCCTTCGTTCTTGCCTGTCCTTTCAGGCCTGTTACCCACCCCTTCCGTGTATTAATTTCCCTTTGTGATTTTGACTGTTATATAACAAACAAGAGGTCCATAGGTTTTACTAAGGGCCAATGTACACGGTACGACTTTGTCGCATCTTACGACAGGCCTACAACACTAGCTGTTTCGTGTAAATCAAACCTACAACTCGCTTACGATCGTTGTATACGTCAAAAAAAAAAAAAACTGTCGTAGGATTTTAAAACATGTTTTAAAACTTTGCGACAGTTGCAGCCGATATCGATAGAAAATGACGTATTTAGTGCAAAACACGTTTTGTTTCCACATCACGTTCCGAACCTTGACATCGACTATTTCGTATTATCGACCCGAAATTCTAACTAACAAATGAGTTTTCAATCGTTAAAAATTGATTTGAAATCTCACTTCGCTAGTTAACTTTTGTTAGTGTGTGTTCACATCATTTCAGTGTTTGTTGTCCTCCCGCCGGTTTTGGTCTTTCAACGCGTTCAAACGTCACGCAAGTCTCCTTTGCAGCCGTTTTAAAATAATTTAGCCTGCGTCGGATCGGAGGTGCATAGAGGAAAGGGTAAGGAGAAAGAAAAACTTCCTCCACCTCTCCCTCGCCGTCTCCCCCGTTTCCGCCTGTGACGTAGCCGGTCAAATAAACGCCTGCAAAAAAGACTAACGTCACGTTTATTGCGTTACTACAAAGTTCGTTTACGCGAGGAGGCTATGTTGAGAAACAGCGAGAAAAGAATAGAGATAAGGGCTACCGTAAGCACCCGGGGCACTTATTCGAGGGGGCGCTTAATCGAGGGGGGGTGCTTATTTAATTTTTGCTAAATCATTGCCTGACGTGATCATGTTTTTTAATCATCAGCGCGTAAACACCAACATAAGCTGTTTGTCAACATAAAAAGCTGATCCTAAAGTTTAAATCGCGGCACCGTTAGTACTTGTAACTTTTTTCCAGTGTTTGCAAACTGAACAAATCTAATACTACATGACGAAAACTATACATCCTTTGTTGTCTCATTACTCGTCCACAAAATGGGGGAGGGGAGGGGGGGGGATATACATACGTACAACCTTTATTTATACACGATGAAAAATTTCAAAGCTAACAAGCTTGCGGGGTCGTGTGCTAAATGAAAAGATACAAATGCTAGGAATAATAAAGAAGCTACCATTGAGGGATTAAAAATCATTCGTATAAAAGATATAATTTTGTTAAATTAAGTTAATAGTTAAACAATCGGATTAAAGTCTCAGATCTGTTGTTGATTATTTGTGGGGCTAAAATATTAAAATTAAAATCCTTAAAAGTGTGACAATTAGCAACATTTTTCAAAAAGAATTTCATGTCTGTGCACTCTAGCGTCGATCAGCTTATGGCTGATGGGCCACCCTGCCTAAATAAAAATGACTTGACTTGAACTTGAAATTGATCAACTTTATTGTTCTTCTCAGTTACATGTTGTACGTGCGAATTTTGGAACAAAACGAAATACTGCACCTAGGAACTTACCTGAATGAATGACAATATTTGTGTAGCCCCCGGCACCGACTAGAAATGGTACATACCGCAAGTTATTGACACCTGGTTCCCGGAGTGTCCGTAACAAAGAGGCTAAATTTGTATGAGTTTAGGCTGCGAGTAGGCCTTATTCACGATAACCACCAAGTTTGTTGACGTGATTTCTGGAGGGGCAAACAAGCTAAAATCGGCAAATCAGTTCACCTGTTTCTTGATAATTTTTTCCATATCCATGCTTTGGTTTCAGTATTGGGGTGAAGATATTCCAAGTTTTACAGAATTTTGGCGCTTTTGTAAAAACAAAACGGCTCGCGTAGTTAAGTTAAGTTACCAAGAAACTTTTTCCAACTTAAAATTAATAATAAAATCATTATTTTATAACTTGGCTCCCAAAAGTGATTTTGGTGTAGATACTTTACCATTTAGGCGAGCCGATTTTCAGAATAATTAAATGGGAACCATTTCAATATTTGTTCCCTGGCGGACAGCGTGGCTAATTATAATACGAAAACCATCATGGCGGCTATCGTGATATGGGATATTGCTCCCTCGGTATCCCAACGTATCCGAACCGGGGAATTTCTCTACTGGATGGAGGCTTGGAGTCTAGAACTGTGTGTTGCAAAGAGACTGGGACCAGCCTATAAGGCAACTAAAATGGCGGAGAGAGACACGAGTAGCTAACTTGTTGTTTTTAATCTATTTCCTCCTTAGTTCTTGCTTGCCATCCCAAACCGGTTTCAAACATTTTGAACCAAATAAAATTGGAGCCTCAGCATATACTTTCGCTGGTAGGCGGGGACAGAGCGAGGACATTGGAATGAAAGTACTTCCCTGGGGGTGGGGACAGTGGCTCATTTTTTCGAGTCCTTTCGTCCAAGTCCCCGCCTATTACCGGGTTGGTGGGGGACGGGGATTTACTTTGACTGGTGCATAAGCGAAAGAGGGACTTCTCCTAGTCTAGTATTAATTTGCTCCCTGGGGTCGAGATTTAGTGTCCGTTTTCCGTTTTAGAGAGGGTCCGTTTTATAGAGGTTTGTTTTCAGATGAAATGTATGAGAATTTTGTCGGCATGTGGTAAGAGACTGTCCGTTTTAGAGAGGTGTCCGTATGGAGAGGTTTGACTGTATATTGTACGATTATGTTTGCAGGTAAATGGGTACTTCAAATTTAAATTCTAATTTAAATAAAAGAAACTGGAAATCTTAAAAAAGTTATAGCAGTACTGACGTTATATGTGGCACTTGGGTCATTTTTTCACACTCCGCTATTGCGGTCTCTCGCTATTACGGACATCAAATAACGGTCCTGAGGATGTCCGCTATAAGAGATGCCCTATAACGTCTATAACTTCAGTTGATTGTGTACCAATAACAACCGAGCAAGAGGTACTAAAGAAAAGATGAAGGGGCCACTCCTATAACATGGTACCCAGACACGCGCGTAGCAAAGCTGTTTACGTTGAGGATTTCCACTGTCAGTTATTTCAAGCCCCTCGACGGTTGTGAATTATACTGACATTATGCGTGTGTAAAGTAAAACAGAGGAGATGTATGGACAGTTTGCGTAAGGACTAGCAGACAAAAGCCGTCCCTAAATTTCCTTTGTTTATTATTACGCACATAGAGTAACGCGTAAAATAACGTGTTAAGTAACGGAATCTTTTCAGGCCCGAAAAGCCATTTTTAGTTAATCGGTATTTAAAGACAGAGAGGTGTATACACTAGGCTTGATTTCCGCCGCTCTCTCGTGTCCGGTCTACGTTCCTCCCCGAAAAGAGGGAGGAGCGCGGGCCCCTTCCCCGAACGGCTATGTATACACCTGAAACTTCTTGTATGAAGAGAATCTCTGTTCGTATTGAGAATATATGAATAAAACGGCTCCGTAGTCAAAAGGTTTGAGGTTTTGCTACGGCTTTTCGGGACCTTCGAGAAACGGGCCCCAGGGATAGACTTGCAACAAGTCGACCTTTGCTTTTATCTTCGGCCCCTCAAGCGAATGTTCGAGGGACGAATTCGAAATTGCGAGCGTGAGCGAAACTAGACTACGAGTAGTCCCTCTTTCGCTTAGTCCGTCGTTGCGTGACGCGAAAGAAAACCGCGAGTCAAAAATGGCCGCGCGAAATCCCTTCGCCACTCCTCGCCCCCAGGATTTCGCGCGGTCATTTTTCTCTCGCGGTTTTCTTTCGCGTTACGCACGACGGACTAAGCGAAAGAGGGACTACTCGTAGTCTAGAGCGAAATCAGCAGGCCAGGGAAGAATTATTGGAAAGGACGTTTAGAACTAGGCCAGGGAACGATCTAAAATGACCTTGAGAAGGATTATCTTAGGCCTAAAGAGCATGGTAGACAGTATTAAATATTATCGAAAACACTTGATAATTTTCTTATGAATACGGTTGGAAAACTAATGATGCTACGTAACTACTTTTACAGCAATTCGCGATCGGCGATTTACAAAATTTTCCGGTGGTCACTGAAGCGTCTTCAAAACTCCGAGTAATATGGTTGGGAAAGATGATCTTGATGGAGAAAATCTAAGATATGCATCGACTGTAAATTCCCTGATTCAGGGCTTAAGCTGCTTCAGACGATAACTAAAAATCATGAACTAAAATTACCAGTTGCTAATTCGCTAAAGGACCTGTTGGGCTAAGTCGGTGGGTCATAAGTAAACACTTCGCTGTTCATCAATTTGAAACTGGCAACTGTAAATTACCCACCCTAGCAAGTTTGTTAAGCTGACGTTTTGGGCACTAATAGTACCTTCACAAAGTGCTATGCGAAAATTCCGTGTGATATGTTTTCTAGAGAATAAAACCCAAAAAGCTGGGCATTCTTTGCTAGAAAATCTTCTGGCTCTTAGACTAGACTGTACTCCGTCAGATGACACTCGCATTGTTAGGCTAAAATCGTAACATAAGTAAAAACAACTCTCTGCCTATCCATATTAACTTTAAAATACTCCACACTGGTTTCATTACATTTTAAGCTGCTTATTCATTGATACTGATTCATGAAAATTTCACGTTTCTGCTCATTTTTTGCTATTCTTATGAAATGACTGTTTCAAAAGTAAAAGCAAATAAAAATTTACTAATAAATAATTAAATATTAATAAATAAATTGAAAAAAATTGCTCTAATCAGTCTGATCTTGAGTTTATATCTAAAGGAGAAAATCGGTACTGATCACTTGAACGAGTCACGAATTCCTCGAAAGATTTATACTGCAGAAGGCTTAAAGACATGATGTACGGCCAAGCAGTGTTCTGCACTGTTTATTCCGTCACATGGTATTTCACCCTTAAAAGGAGTTCTAAAAATCGACGAACGCTTTGAAGCCGCTCAGCCAATGACGTCATCGACACAATGATGAGTTTTGCTTTATCCTGAAGTGGGACAGCCGCCAGCGCCCACCAAAGCCATGACGGACCGTCACGACTGACCAGGTTTTCCGGCTCAAGACTGGGCATGGGACCAATAGCGTTTGAAATACAGGTCTGTTGTATAGGCGCCAAACTGTTGAACCAAAGTTCTAACATTTTATAGCAATCGGCATTTAACATCTCGAGGTCTTGTAACTCAGTGGACGGGTTAGGGCGGTCATCGTCCATCCATTCTACCTTTGCAGTGTTATACCCATTCCTAGTTGATCGTGAGACAACGCGGAACCTTCCTCCGGCTGTTGTTTGGATGATGGAGCGCCCATCAGGTAAGACGTTGATGTTATCAATGTGAAGCATGGTTCCGTAATCCGCGTGGCTCTTGTCCGGGTCATCAGTATTGGCGCACATTCCAAACATCCGGGAGCCTAGCTCTACGCACCGACGAATCATGAGCCGGTACTTGGGTTCAAAGATGTGCAGAGGGTACTTGAGACTTGGGAATGCCAACAAGCACACAAATATGGGCACTTCAACATCATCATCAACACCAGCTCTGAAACGAGATTAAAAACTGATATAAGCCACATCCAAAGTTCCTTCCTTCCCTGCGACAAAGCTCTCAAGGAAACAAAGTTACAAAAGCTCCGAACAATAAAAGAAGTCCACTTAAATCAGTTAACGTACATTGTATAAGTACAGGTAGGTTCCGTCCACATTACGCCGGGGCAATTTGAAAACGGAGCGTTTTTCCTCTAGTTAGGCCTTCCGTCCACACTAATCCGTCACGAAAACGGAGCTTTTCGAAAACGCTTTTCAAACCGGAGGAATTTGGACACGCCGGCTTTGCGTTCAAGTGTGGACGAAAAACATTTTGAAAAAGAAGCTTTTTAACATGACAATGACGTTATGATAATCAGGATATTTCTCAGCCTGAGCCATAGCAGGAACTAGGAAAGTCACCCACTATTTAAAAGGTAATCAAATGGCATACTGCTGAAATAACAAAAAAATTCCCTAGCGTTTGTCAAATTCTAATGCGTGCAGCTCACGAAGTTATTAGGATTTTGACAAACCGCGCGTTAAATTATTTCCTTATTTCACTCATTGCCATTTGAATACCCATAATATAAACAAAGCACTAGAAGAAAAGATGTCCAAAAATAAATATATTCCACATTCAAAGTAATATTCGGTTGACCTGAAACCAGCTGTACGGCATGTTCAACGCGGAATAATCACGGGAATTATGTTACGTAAAGCCTTACATAACGTATTTTCTGTTTTGTTCTTTAGTTTGTTTTTACCGCAAATAATATAAATGCTCGGCTGTCGTGGGAATTGCACAATAGCCTTTGACAAAAGACTAAGATCGCTTTAAGAAAGATTTCAATAGAAGCTTGAAATAGATTGACAGTTTTTGTCTCAACATGACCATTGCAAATTAAGAGCTTCGTGAATAATAGCTTTCAATATTTCGTCGCAGGCCAGTAAAAATATGAGCACATTTATTACAAGGGAACCGCTGAAAAGATGAAGAAAACCCTCCTGATCTCTGATTGTCCATTGCAGCCGAGAAAAAGAACAAAACTTGTTCATTGTGATGTCCTTGTATACCTGCGACGTTCACCGCTTACATAACGCCGGGAAAATAGTGGGTCAGAGATCTGACTTATTTAGTAAAGTTGCCATTTGTCCAGTTTCAGTAGATAGAAATGAACATTCTTGTGCCTCTATACTTGAACACTGGACAATAATTGGCGTCCGATCATTAAGTGTCCGTCGGAAAAAATTAAAAATTTTGACAGATATTTTCATTTTCACATGTTCTTTGGGCTACCTTTAACAACGGTTTATATCATAAATTCACGGACCACGTTTTTTTCCACATCACGTGTCACGCGTAAACTCTTTCCCACCCTCCAATACACAGAGTCGACAACATAGCGATTTCTCAGAATGCTCAAGCTAGGGATAAACCAACATGCTTTCAATCGCTTGATATGCCGAAGCACTGACATAGATTACCGTCAAGAGAATTGTTTTTAATGTTAGACTTTCCTTCGTACATCTGTGAAAATTTCTGACTGCCGGGCATATAACATAATCACGTCGTTACTGTAAAATGTCAGCAGTAGAGGGTAAACGTCGTAGGAAAAAATAGATGCCAAAAAGAAATCGTAAACGTTCAGGGAAAAAGGCCTTACACGACTTTAAACAATGATCAGTTTACATGTTACGTAACCCCGTGTACAGTATCGACAGTCTCCAGTATTGGTCACTATTGCCTCGATGAGTGAACTAAATATCGATGCCATTTCAATTAGAAGATTAAAAAACACAAAAATGAGATATTTAGTTTAGCAAACACCTCAATATCTGTCTAATTATCATCGCAGCAGCTACTCGTTAATCACAACATTCCTTAAGCGGAAAAATCTTGACCACACACTCACCCTTTCCAACGCGCTTCCTCCTCAGAGAAACTCATTTTCCTCTCAGCGTATTCATCAGGACACAGGTTTTCCACAATCTCTTTCACAACTCTTGTGATTTCAGTGTTTCTCTGAACTTCACAATTGAGCGTACGGCGACAACATGGGCATTCAGGTTTGTAGTCCAGGGCTCGTAACAAACACTCTCGGCAGAAGGTGTGTCCACACACAGTGGTCACTGGTTCATACAATACGTCGTAGCAGATTTTGCATTCCAAATCTTCCTTATCGCTCATAACAGCGGCTTCGCTGGGACCACTGCAGCTCGTTTCACTTTCCCGTGAGACTTTTAAACGCTTTGATCGAGCAGACTGTTCTCCGTCGTCGGCTTCGAAGGAACGCTTTAACGATGACCTGTTCTCCAGTAAAGGTTCAATTGGGGGACCAACTGTTTCCTCCAGGTTTCTTCCGTTTTGCAGTTCATTTCGGAGTTCGGCGTGGGACTCCTTATCATCTTGATCACTAAGCGCTTTGAACTTTGGATACCACTTGTAGGTGTTACATTCTGTGGTTACAAAACTGTTAGTACGCTTCAGCAGTAAGTCTTCTTTTCTCGGGCTGTCAATATCAGAGGTCAGAAAACGATTAAGATAGGCAAGCAATTTCAATCGATATTCCGTGCTATGGTTACGCTCGAGAGCTAAGGCGCGTGCCAGACTTTGGATAGCTTTCTCGTATTTACCCATGGCAAACAAAACCTCTCCTCTCTGATGAAAAACGCTAGGAAGAAACGGTCGTAGATCGCAGGCTAATTCGGCGTCTCCTAAAGCCTGCTTGTGCAGTCCCAGTTTTAAGAGGGCATGACTTCGCCACTTTAACGCTGTAATGTGACGAGGGTTGTTTCTCAGGACACCGGACAAAGTTTCTACGACGTTTTCTCTGTCTCCCCGTAATTCACGTCGAACTTTCTCCAACTTCTTCACTTCTTCATCGTACTTTCGCGGAAACCATTTTTGTATCAGATCAGTCATTAGTACATTCACAGCGATATCGTTATCATGGTTTGTCACACCACATTGCTTACAATCGATGACTTGGACAGAAGCTTTGCCAGGCAAAATGCAGCTCTTACATAACGTGTGTCCACAGTCTAACGTAACAGGTTCGACATAGAGACCACTACAGAGTGCACAGTGAAATATATTATCTTCTTTTTTATCCACGAAACCAACGGATTTTTCATTCATTACAGCTTGCTTTTGAGAGTCCACCAAAGCATTAGCAATAGAGTCTATTGATTCGTTACATGGCGGCTTAATCTCAAAGTTTCCGCAAGACACATGCCGACTGACATCAGGTAGAATGTCGTATTTCGCTTTCCATTCTGTCGATCGACGACGGGATTTTTGAACAACACTGGTTTCCTCCATTGATTAGAAATTGTCTTCCAAAGGAAATTTGCGGTAAATTGTACCTGAACGGTGAATATCCCACACTCGCCACATGTAAACGGCGTATAGTTACCGATGAACAGGTTCAACTCCAGCGATAGGAAGAACGGACAGAAAACAATTCAATTGACGTTTAAATTTTCCCTCGAACCTTTACATTTGAAGAGGAGAAACATAGAGCCCGTGCCAGGACATAAATTTCAGCTCACAGTCAACAGACACTGAAACTCCGCGCAGTCAGTTGGAGATTGAGGTGATTGGCGTAATACCTAAACTACATTTATACCGTTTGACAACGGGAGAGCAGAATTTACTTTTTCCTAGAAACAATGACACAATAGCTAGTCTCTGGTTATATACCGGCATTCAGTTGGTGTTATTATCATGTTACGTAACCAGCCGGACCACGTGCGAATACACACGCAACCACGTGGAAAACTATTAGTGTGACAATATATTTTCCGGTGTCAGCTTATTTTAGACTCAAAAGAGTTGTTAAGAAAAGCTCTGATTGTATAGAACAACTTCGCACGATTCACCAAGCAATTAAATTGGCAATACTCATTTCCACTGCTAGCCGGTAATGTTTATTACGTTACGTAACTACTCACGCGCGAACGCACGTTTAGTGGTAAAATATAATTATTCAAATATCCGACAGCCCTCCCACGATTAAAAAATCGTTTCCGGTCAACTTTTTCAAGGAAAGGAAAACAATTGAAAGTGAGGGAATCCATACGCTAGTAAGCATGTTTGTAAAACGATTTCCGGTGATGGTTGGTGCGACCAATAATACAGTTAATAATAAAGAATAAAGTTACCTCGATTAACCGAAGCTGAATTTCAGAAAGAAAATACGATCGCTAAAAGAGTTGGGGTGGGGGAGAGTGCAGGGGGGGTCTGCGAGATGGTTTTTAGGATAATTAACTCCCTCACTTTCTGTATTTTCTCGCATAAATTCGTAAGATGTCGACTTCCGCAGAGATAATGGCAGCATGGATTCAGTAGGATCATTTGAAAGAGAAGGCCACAGGAGGGAAATATAACGAGAAGTCTGAGAGAAGGGAAAATGGCGGGAAGTGAGGAGAGCCCCGGCGGACTGAGAAAATAATAATAATAATAATAATAATAATAATAATAATAATAATAATAATAATAATAATAATA